GCTCTGAAAAGGGTAGTCGTATCGTTTACGAGTTCGAAAGCGATATGATTAACCTGTTCATCAACGAGAACTGCATAGGCCCCGGCATGATTGCTATGGAACCTATGCCGGTACTCGATAAGGTTGGACGATTCCACCATAGTAGTGGTGGGTTTTCTCAGCTAGGAGCGGCGGTGGAGGAATCATCCCGTAACTCGCAGGAGGGCAAAGTTCCCGGGGTTTCTGGTGACGCTCGTGAGGAACTACGCGAACGCCTCCATATTACTCGCTCCAACTACGAGGAGTACGTACGCAATTTGCATGTTTGTGGTTGTATTCAGTTACTCCGTCAACAAGACTTGTTCCTTCATAAAACCACCTCACTTCCAGATTATGGGCTGATTATAGACGTGAACCGCGTCGTATCCCACCCCGATAATCCCAAGATTGGCGTTCAATTGCCTCATGTAGACTCTGAGGAATGCCGTCGTCTCAGACCAACCTCTACCCCCCTTCGTGAACGAATGGAATTGGGACTGGAAGGTGCTCACCTGGATGAGCATCCCCTCGAGTCGACCCCTGTCAAAGGCAAGGGTCGGGAATACGTTCCCCCAGTAGCAATCCCATTTGTGCAAGCCTTACCCAAGTTTGATGCAGGGGCCCTGAATGCAAGTACGGCTCCGCACCCTCCGGGGAGGCCCCCAAGTCCAATGGTTAAACCAGAACTGACTCCGGACCAACCACCTTCAGAGTCGCGTCGTACTGATAGGCAAGGCTCCGGTCCTCCAATACCTGGGGGTGGCCCTCCTTCAATTCATGGGAGTCGTTCGGGACCGCCTCTTCCTGGTGGCCCTCCGAATGACCCTCCCGGTGGTAGCGGTGGTGGTGGTGGCGGTAACAACCCGCCATCTCCCCCTCCGTTCCATTCCGATGGTAGCCAACATCGCGGATTTGGGTCTCGGTTCACCCCGTCCCCTCACCCTTCTCAAGCAGGTGGCCCTCCTGACAGAGGTCCTCCTGGAGGAGGAGGAGGCGGTGGTGGCGGTGGTGGTGGTAATGGTCCACCCTCGCCGCCCCCATCCGACGATGGTGATGGCGGCTCTCGTGCTTCCGCTCATCGGCGGAACTTTGTTCGCAAAGCAACGGTGTTGCACGCCACTGATGAATTCAAGGAGGAAGATTACGACTACCAACCTGTCGTGGTTGATGGTCATAACCAACTCAATCAAGTCTTCAATGAATACTCCCTCCTAGTCAGCCAGGAGCTCTACCCCCAACTGGACATCGACCCCGCTATGCTACGCTTGATGGCCAGCGGGGCGATTAAACCTGGAAAATACGACGGCAAGGCCGACCTCCCTGAGTTCGACCGTTGGTTTCGTAGCGTCATCGGGTGGATGCGACTGGTAGGGCACTGTGGAGGCCCTATATCTACTAATGAGGATGGACTTCCGGTCCCGTCCTCCAGTGATAGGCAGCGAAAATTGGCGCTCCGTGGTTTCTTGACGGGAGCCGCGGAACGCTGGTATTCGACTTTTGTGGATCGAGGTCATTGGGCACACAAATGGACATTTTTACGAGTGGCTAAAGCCATGTTTCATAACTTCGTGTATGAGACGGCACTTCGTTCTGCGTCCGAGTCATACCACGCAGTGAAATACTCATGGGATGGGGGACTACGGCAGTTGTATGCTGACATGGTCTACCATATCCAGTACATGCCATCGCAGCCAGATGTATACAATGTACGCCGTAACATCATGGACAAGATGCCCGAATCCATCAGTGACCTGCTGTATGATGAGGGATTATCTGCAGAACTATCCTCGTGTCCCGACATCATGCGTCGCGCACTGGTAATTGAACGAGGCCAACGGGCTAAGAGAATGCGCCCGAGGGTTTCAGCGGAGGATAGGTTTCGAGGCCGGACTCTCAAGCTACGGGTAGTCAGTGAGAAACGACACAAACCACCTAGCCCGACGCGTAGGAGGTTCAGCCCTCCTGCACGCCAGGATACCGTGGTTGTTAAGAAGAAACCAGACGCCAAGGGTGGAATGAATTGGGCTCATAAAGAGCCTGAGTCGTCAATTCGAACCTGCTACCGTTGTGGGAAGCCTGGCCATATTTCCACGGACCCTGCATGCCCCATGTTCGACCAACGACGAGTAAATAACTCATCTAATCGTATGGCGGCTGCTAGGAGTGTGGACGGTGAGGAGGAAACAGATAGAGCTGAGGAACCCCACCCGCCGACCACTGAGCCTGAGGTCGTAGCTGAGGAACCCTATGGAGGATCTCAATATTCCTCAGATGAGTTTGAGGCTGAATTAGTGGATGACCCCTACGACCACGGCGAGGATGAGGAATGGAATCGAGCCATGAGGACCCACGACCCGCAAGTGTCGGAGTTCCTGCGAGCTGCTCATGAGGGTAGCGATTCACAGGATCCCGATGATGACGATTCCTCCATAATAAGCGACTCAGAATCTCACGACGAATGGTCCTTGGACTTTCCTGAGTTCCTTGGAGCGATCCAGGAAACTCAGGGTGAGTTCACCCCGACCATCGAACCGCGGATGAAGCGTGCACACCGAAGGGGAACGAGGCCGACCCGGCGAGTAGAGGACAATAGGTGCCTGTCTGCATGGGTTGAGATTAATGGTGTGAAGGCATTTACCCTGTTCGACAGTGGTAGTACGTCGGACGCCATTAGCCCCGATTTCGTCCCAGTGGCAAATGTTCGATGCTTCGAACTGACCAATCCTGTGGTTCTCCAACTAGGCACGAAAGGTAGTCGCTCGACCATTAATCATGGGTCCATGGTGAATTTCAAGTTCGGTTACCCTGGACATGAGCTCGCTGGACGTGACTACTTCGACATTGCTAATGTGGACCGCTACGACTTGATTGTCGGAACGGTCTTCATGCGCAAGCATGGCATATCCCTGCACTTTGCATCAGATTCGATCCAGTGGGAGGGAGCCTCTATGCCAACGCTCTCGGAGGGGGAGGAAGCACAGGAGCTCGCTCGACGGTACTCCAAGCACGTAACTTACCCCAAAAACCGGGATTGACTACATGGAAGCGACAAAAACCTCGCTCGCTCAGACAGACCTGAGCCCCCATGGATGAGGAAGAAGACGCCCACGGTAGAGGAAGTTGTCGACCAAGACGATAATGAGTTAGGGAGTAAACCTACTCTGCCTCGTCTCTTCCCTAGCATCCTGATAGGTATGAATGAGGCGATTACCATCAAAGATATAGAGGATATGGCCAATGGGGCGGCAGAGTTGGACTTGGACAGTGAAGGCTACCAGTCTAATTTGCAAGAGGTACACGAATTCGTACAGGAATTCACTAAGGAATATTATCCCCAGAGCCACCCTACTGAGGAGAAACTGGGTAGGATGGCTGTGGATGAAGCGATGCATCTAGCATCTTCGCGTTTCAAGGAAAGGACGTCGGAGATGGGACGACTCAAGAAAAAGGACATACCACGCCTGCGCGCCCAGTGGCTGGAATCTTGCAAGGACATTCTGGGAGGAGTGCCCGACAAGCTTCCCCCACTAAGAGGTGTAAACCACTCGATTCCCCTCAAGGATGACCAGGCACGATATGCTTACTACCTACCAAGATGCCCCGAATCAATGAAGGGTCAGTTGCGTGACAAGATTCAACGGTACACCAAGAACGGATGGTGGGAGTCGACACGAACAAATCAGGCTGCTCTGATGCTCTGTGTACCCAAGAAGGATACGAAGCTGCGCATGACAGTTGACTGTCGCAAACGCAACGAAAACACCATAAAGGATGTCACGCCCCTGCCAGACCAAGACTATATACGTTTAAGTGTGGCAAGGGCATTGGTCCGATCTAAGATTGACCTTTCGGATGCGTATGAACAGGTTCGTATCGTACCAGAGGACGTCTGGAAAACGGCCTTTTCATCTATTTACGGTACCTTTGTTAGCCATGTCATGCAACAAGGAGATTGTAATGCTCCCTCTACTTTTCAACAGCTCATGAACTCCATCTTCCAAGATTACATCGGAGACTTCCTCCATGTATACCTGGATGATTTATTCATCTTCAGCGATACTATAGATGATCACGAGAAGCACTTGGAACTCGTATTTCAGCGACTTCGAGACAACGAACTTTATCTTAAGGCGACTAAGTGCGAGCTTTACGCTGAAGAGATTGATTGCCTGGGCCATAAGATTGACGATCGTGGTCTACACGCAGACACTGATAAGTTGGGGATTATCCGGAACTGGAGGGTACCCCGGAACTATCATGACGTACAGAAGTTCTTGGGTTTGGTTAACTACCTAGCCCATTTTCTCCCGGACATCTCTGCATGGACTACCCCCATATCCGACATGTCACGCAATGGCCAGCCCTTTTTCTGGCGGCCTGTTCACGATGTATGTATGCAGAACATTAAGAATATGTGCTGCAAGACACCTATTCTCAAGCCAGTGGATGCTCGATCACCAGATCCAATCTGGGTGGTTTGCGATGCTAGCACACGAGGAGTGGGTGCGATGTATGGGCAAGGATCCACCTGGCAGACCTGTCAGCCAGCCGGGTTCATGTCCAAGAAATTTAGTGATGCCCAACGTCACTATCGCGTGTTCGAGCAAGAGACCTTGGCTATCCTTGAGGCCTTATTGAAGTGGGAAGATAAGCTCGTAGGATACAGAGTACATGTGGTTACCGACCACCGTGCTCTTGAATTCTTCATGACACAACGGAACCTTTCTAGCCGTCAGATGCGCTGGATGGAATATCTTTCCTGATTCGATTTTGATATCACATACGTCAAGGGGGTGACCAATAAAGTCGCCGATGCGTTGTCTAGATATCATGAGTATGATACCCTGCTGGATAGGTTCGAGCCACACAAGTACGTCTCTGCCGACGTTCACATCGACCCTGGTTGCGAGGATCTTCCCCCCCACCGCCTGTTACGATTATTCTTTTTCTTTTCCTTTTTATTTTCTTTTCTTTTCTTTTCTTTAGTCAGCCGGATTACGCAGTGCACGATCATCATGGACTGACTCCCACAGTACTATTTTTAGTGTACTTACGTGTATTTAAGTAGAGCCTCAGCTGGTCTGAACCCCAGCTTCGGCTAAGGTTTAATCTACCTAACATCGAACTCCGTCCTTCGTGACTATCTGTCCCATCGACTTTCGTCGCCTTTGACTTGTTAGAGTGTCGTCTACCGAAGTGCGAGTAGCGATCCTAACACGATCTAAGTTGATTGGAGTTAGTGGCTAACATTTAGCCGAAGCTCGTCTACCGTTGCTCAACAACTTACTGTTGCCCAACATTTTCCCAATCATTCTCTTCATTGTTGTGGCACTCTCCGTGCTGCAATTTCTCCTTAACGACCCACTCGGACTGGTAATCGTAACCATCCTCCGAGTCTTCCTCGCCTGCGTATATGTCCCATCTCCAGTGTTTGCAGGACTCCTCCTGCTCCTCTGGGTCGGATTCTTACGCCATCATTAAAAACACGAAACCCTTCATTCTAGCCCTCCAGCTCGCCTCTATATTAACAATTCTGTTGTTAGTATTAACGAGCACCTCTTCTGACGAAACCTGCGAAATTGTGTTGATGAACGGCTCCAACTACGAGACCGACCTCAGCTTAATTATCGCACTCCTTATTGTACTCACCATCCTTGCTGTCTATCAGCTTGCATGGTCAATCGTCGACTTACGCCAAGGATAGATTCACTTACGGATGCCCTGGTCCGAATCCATTCCTGCCGTCTTCGTGACTTTTATACTCTTTTTCTTGTCCATTACTTTGTACCATCTACGCCACTGTTTTCAGCGACAGGAGTGAGTACGCACGCAACTACCGTTCCATTACGTCCCGAATACCCCGGCGTATCCGCCACCAATCATCGACATTCCCGTGGCATCTCAGCAGACGATAGGAGATGTCGAGTCCAACGCCTCCGGGGAATCTGGAGGATCCCTCTACACATCGTCACGACCCAGCTCGCGATCCTCAGAGTCGAGCACCGACTCCTACAGTGTTAGCCACTAACTCTTATCGGCTTGGATCAACTCCGGATCGCCACTCGCACTTCGGTGGACGATACGAGAGAGGTCAAAGACGACGGACAGAGCCAGGTGCGAGACAAATAGTCAGAGAGCACGGAGCGTTAAGTTAGGTAGATTAAACCTTAGCCGAAGCTGGGGTTTAGACCAGCTGAGGCTCTACTTAAATACACGATGCGTAAGCTAAAAATAGTACTGTGAGAATGTCCGATCAGAACCGCAGCATAGAGTAAGCATGAATGCGTAAGAAAAGAAAAGAAAAAGAAAAAGAAAAGAATAATCGTAACATACAGAAGCGCTTCCAGTGCAGCAGCAGAATCCATCGACATCACCAATACCCGGGGGGTACTCCTCGACTGAGGAGACTCGCCCTTACCAGGTCTCTTCGACCAGTCTCCAGTCCAAGGCGAGTCAGGTACCGACGGAGGCCGAAGACAAGGCACCAGGCCTCTGGACGAGGGCAAAGAAGAAATTGATACCGAGTTCGAAGGGGACGAGCTCACCGAGTGGGAAAGAACCAGACTCGACGACCTCTACCCGAATGAGGAGGAAAATGCATCCTATACCGGAGACAACTACAGCGGCCGGTCAGGACACAAGTGGACCGACGCAGTCTGGAAGGGTGAGAGCAGGAGATACCGGGTCGCCCAGGAGGACGACTACGACAGTGATTCCGGCAAGCTTAGCCTCGGAGCCTCCGCGGCTTCCACCA